AGGAGTTGATGTGCTGGTACCACTAATGAACACTGAATCTGAACCGGAGGGGCCAGGGCATAGTGGTGTTCAGCTGGGAGGGGGCGGGGCACAGTTCTCTTCAGCATCATCACAGATGACTTGACCTTTAGTGTATCGATCACTCTATGCTCACATTCGCCCACTCAACAATATTGCTGCGAGCAAGCACTTACACATATTCAGGGGGAAAACTACCCATTATCTTTCAAAAGCGCTTGACTGAGTTCATGAAAATTGTTATTCTCATTTGTGGATATTGTTGTTTGGGTTTTGAAGCAAGCTACTGTTTGAAAAGTGGGTATTTTTTTTTAAATATGTCTAGTTTTTCTTATAACAGTGTTTATTTATTTTTAGTCACTTGACATCCTGGTTGTAGCCCCATCCCTCCTCCTTTCGCAGTCCCAACCTCTTTTTCTCTCTCTCCCTTTTTTCCCATCCACCCTACCTCATCAAGTTGCATCAGGACTGAGCATGTCCTCTGCCCCTGTGGCAGGGCAAGGCAGTCCTGCCAGGGGAAAGTGATCAAAAGGCTGGGAAGTGAGTCCATGTCCAATGCAGTCTCCACTTCCTTTACTAAAGGTTCCACATGAGGCCCAAGCTGCCCATCTGCTACATCTTTGTAGGAGGTCTAGGTTCAGTTCATGCATGGTCTTGTCCCACAGAGGGCCAATACCAAAATATATAATGAACTCAAGAAAGCAAACACCAATAAACAAAATAACCTAATTAAAAATGGGGCACAGAACTAAACAGAGAATTTTCAACAGTGGAATCTCGAAAGGCCAAGAAGCACTTAAAGAAATGCTCAACCTCCTTAGTCATCAGGGAAACGCAAATCAAAAGGACTCTGAGATTCCATCTCATGCCAATCAGAATGGCTAAGATCAAATTCTCAAAAGACAGCACATGCTGGCCAGGATGTGGAGAAAGGGGAACACTACTCCGTTGCTAGTGGGAGTGTAAACTTATACAACCACTTTGGAAATCAATCTGACACTTTCTCAGAAAATTGAAAAAAGCTTTACCTCAAGACCCAGCTATACAATAGTCTTTATCAAAACTTCTGCTCAAACATTTTTAGTTCTTCAAATATATTAAAACATGAATATTAATTCAGTTTTTAAAATGAAAAAAATCAGTTTTATGATCACTTTAACTAATGCATGATTTTAAATAATTATATATTTAATTTCCTTAAACTATCCAGCTTTCCAATAATTGTACAATCAGAGATGCTGCTATAGAATATATCTGGACTATCAATATCTTAAGCATTTATAACAATACAAACCTAGAATGTGAACTGGGCCATGAAAACAAATAGGCACCAAGCATTTAAATGCAGATGTTAGGAATCAGTTACTGCTGGAGTGGACTATAAAACATATCCTGTTTGAGCCTTTGTGAACATGTCTAAATGGGATTTGGCAGGTGGATAAAACATGTATTGATTCCTGTTTTAGAGATTGCTACAGACTTACTGCTTCTACAGACTTCTAAACTAGGCTTGGATCTTCAACAGCCTGAAACCTGGAATTCTTTCCTGGCACTGTAACACCTCCCTCCCCAAACAAAAATAACAAATATAAAAGCCAGGATTTGTAACAGTTGTATGCTATTGCCCAACCTCAAAAGGCAAAATATTCTGGAAGAGAAAAACCTGCTATTAATTCTTCTTTAACCCAAGAAATTTCTCTCAGAAACAATACATTCTCATTTAAATGAGTACTTACACAATTCTCTTATTCCCCTGTTCCTGGGGAACACTATGGTGTGTGAGCTACTGTCTACGTCTAGTGAGCTATCTGGTTTGCCTTGAGTATTTAAAATAACATGCCTCAAGTGGATAAGCCCTTGGTTTTTGTGAGAAAAAAAAAGTTCTGAAAAACACCAAGACTAGACAGTAAGGTACATTATAAGATACAAAGCAGAAATTTATAAACATCTTGAAAACGTTGAGCAAATTAATTTAATAGAACTGAAATATCCCTTTAGAATCAACCATCCCTGAGGACAACCAAATGCTTAGAGACCAAAATTCTGCCATCTAACAAATGCCCCTCCTTGAAGAAGAAACACATTGGCTCAGGGCCACAGAGAAGCTAAGCAGATCTGGAGTCAGAAGTCACAGATTATCCACTAGGTGTAACTGAGTTCAGACTCAAGGTAGCAGGGTCTGCTTTGAATTCCCTCAAGGTAACCAGAAAATAAGGTGTTGATACATCTTCAGATCTTAGAAAAAATTAAACAAAATGTGTCATCTAGGACAGGCTACTCCTGGGGAAGCCACTCAGTCAAGCTTAGAGGCACCAGTGGCTAGCTGTCTGTCCTGACAGCTCTACTCTCTTTCTGCTGTAGTTCCAGGAAGGCTTTGGGACTTATCGGATAAGCCCCCCTTGGGCTGTAAAGATAAAGAAAGCTCTTTACAGAAAACTGAGTAGTACTGTCCATACCATTATCTCTACATCATTCCTGACCACAAGGTAGATGTAAATGTGGGACAGCAGATGTCTGTGTCTGTGTTGTATTTACCTTTTCGGTTCCTACTCTCTTTAGGCTAACATGGATTTCTTAGGTGAAATGAGGAATAAGATTCAAAATCTACTTTCCTGAAAGCTTGTTGATGGAAAAAAAAAAAACTCCATTAATTCTGGGCAGGGCTAAAAGTTTCATTTAGTGTGTTTGTTCGAATGAAAAAACATAGAGAGTCAAAGACAGAGCAGAAAGAGTGGTGCGGTTCTGGAAAAGTGGTTGCTCTCTGGCCACCAGGGAAGTGGGTGTGTAAAAAGCTTCTCACTTCACCTATAAAAACCAGAACCACTTGGCATCTCTCTAAGTAACAAATGGATGTGACCTGGAGAGAAGGGATGTTGGCATGAAACTCTCCTCAGGGCCCTGTATTTCAGGCTGCATTTCCCAGAAATGCCTAGATCACAGATCTCAGCACTATGCTCCTAAAGCCTTTCTACCAAAGAAGAAACCTTTACAGGTTCTGTTTCATCTCACAGTCACAATTTCTGCAGAGGAGAGACCAAATGTGGATGAAGAGATGAACATGCACCTTCTGCTTCTGAGGTACAGGGAAGATGTGAGAGGGGGTGAAGAAATACCAAGAAGATGAAGGCAAAAATGGTGTTGGATGCCTTCAATCATATGAGAGCTATTTTCTCAGTTTGTAGGACTTTGCTTTTCAATGAAAACCTGTTCCATGACAGCAATTTCAAACTGGCTTGTAGGGTTAATTCCTGCCCACTGTCTGAAGCTAGCTGTGAGCATGCATACACGTTTGAACACGTCAAACTATAAAGGAAAATTCCCAGTAACTGTAGCAGATGTGTTTTTACTCATCTTCAGAACACGAAATCCACTGGTGGGCTCATAAACCCACAGGACAGACTGACCCTCAGTGGGTGCCACGCTACAAACACAAGAATAACCTTTAGATGCCTGCCTTGTTACAAGGTGAGCTCATTGCTGTGTGTTGTTCTTTTTTTTTCCTCTGAAACATGGAGGCAGCAGGCTAACTCAGTGCCACAGAAACCATCTACAAAATAAAATGCCTTACTTCCTCTCCCACACACTAACAAACCTACACCGCCTTCTGTGACTCAGTGTAACGATCTGTTGACTGTTAGCCCTAGTGCTCCCCACACAAGAAAAGAAACAAGCCAATCTTCCCTGTTAAAAAGACTAAACAGGCCAAACTGTGTGTGTGTGTGTGTGTGTGTGTGTGTGTGTGTGTGATATCACTTAAATCTAACACTATTAATACTAAACCCCCCAAAACTCTCAGCTACAATTCCTAGTAATGTCAATTCTGAGAAGAACCCAGCTGTCTGAGGCACAGGCCATGACTGTGTAAGCTATAGCATTTCCTTCTATAAAAATGGGACATTTCATTGCCATTACAGCTGCTATTGTGAAGTCATATATATATATATATATATATATATATATATATATATATATTTCATTGTTACAGCATCCCAGTTGAAAATAAGAAAGAAAAGCTGTCCAAACCTTTGGCCAGGTTAAACTTCAAACTCTTGGAACCTTCTGGTTGTTTTCTAAACTCTTCTTATAACACTGTTCGGTTCCTGGGCCCTAAATATGTGTGGGCCACCATCTGTCTCTATTCCAGCCAAGGCTTTCCAGTTTCCGTCCTAGTAGTCTCCAGCATCAGACCTGGGCTAACTCCTTTGAGCCCTTTGCCTGACCCAGGTCTAACAGTTGACTAGAGAGGCAAACAGATGTTTCTCTCTCTCTCTCTCTCTCTCTCTCTCTCTCTCTCTGTGTGTGTGTGTGTGTGTGTGTGAGAGAGAGAGGACACAGGAGCGTGTTTTTTTCATTATTGATGGATTGCATTTATTTATAGGTCACCATGTGCTTCAGTACATGCATCCATCCATTGTGGGATTAACTCATCACCTCAAATGTTTGTCATTTCTCCATTGCTCTCTTATCCCCCTTTCTCTAGAAAACGTCATACGACAAAGACAAGGAACGCCTCATGACCTGGAGACAAGGGCTTACTCTGGCGACTGTTGCGAACTTCGGCGGCTACGTTTCCTCAGAAACCATACTTTTCTCTTTCTGGAGCAGCATCCCAGGGCTGCCCTGCTGACGTGGGTCTGGGGAAGCCAAGCTCCCTAAAGGCCGGCTTGGCAGGCTCCTCCTTTCATTAGCGGGGTAACCTAGAGTTCCCCAAGGAGCCTGGCAGGAAGTGTAATTTTCCCTCGGGGACCTACCTGACATCCGAGACAAAATGAAATTTAGAGTCACAAATATTCGAGAAAACAAAGGCTGCTGTTTTCGAGATGGCTTTTGTGTGTCACAAATCCCTGGGCTGTCTGTTGGACCCTTCCTCCTCTTCACAGGTCAAGCATCTACGAAGTGGAATCACAGCTCCAGCTAGGAGAAACCTCCTGGCCCGGGACCCAGACGCCGCAGCAGCAGACCTTCCCCTCTGCCAGGAGAATAGAGTGACTACCAGGAGGCCAGAAACAAAACACTTAAATGTTGCATTTATTAAGGAAATGTTAAATAAGAAAAAAGTCAAACGGTGTCACGGATATCAAGAGCACTTTTGTGGCGAAAACCGTGCAGACACGAGCTAAGAATTCTACTGCGCATCTCCGGCCCGGGCTGAGCTGGAGCGCTAGCCTCTCCAAGAGACCCGGCAGGAAACGCACTAAAAGAAAGCACTGGACCCTATTCACAGTCTCAGGCTCCCCTCCCCCCACCCTTCTCCCAGGATGACAAAAACTCTAACCCGCAGGCAGGCAAACAGGCCACTAGGGCATAAAAGACTTATCAAATATTTGTATTCAAGCAAACTAACACAAACCCCTTAAAACCACAGGTTACTATCGATCAAAGTTCCACTCTCCTAGCAGGACGCAAAGCCCACAGGCATCTATGTTCCCATTAGATCTTCAGCGTGGTGTATAAACAGGTCACTTCTCCCGTCACCGGGCTACTGGTGCCTCTGGATACCCACCCACGCCCACACCCCGCCTTTGTCTGCCTCTCCAGCTGTCCCCAGTGCCAGGCCCATCTGCAGGTGGAAAGGGGCCTTCCCCAGGTCCATCTCCCCGCATCCCAACCCAGCAGCCACTCCCAAAGTTCTGGTCCCTAATCGCCCTCTTTTGCCACCTGCTGCTGAGTCCCGAAGTCTGGGCGCTCCTCCACTCGAGTCTTGCTCGGGGCCTTTCGGAGAGCCATCAGAAATCGGTCACTTTTCCCCAAAAGGCAGAAGTCAAGAGAGAAAAAAAACTGACTCCGACAGGTTTGCTTTGCTCGGTCCGTGATGGTGAGGGGTGCATCGCGGCTGGCGGAGTCCCGGAGGTGCTGGGGGCACACGCTGTGGGCGACCCGAGGGCCACTCAGTAGGGCCCCACGACCACCGCCTCGACCTCTTTAGACGGCCTCCGGTCCTTCACCAGGAAGTTGATCATGCCTTCGGACTTGATGAGCAGGTTGCATCCGAGGAAGAAGATGCCGAAGACCACAGTGAGCGAGAGCACGCACATGACTGCTATCTGCACCACGCGCATGATGTAGAGGCTGCGCTCGTCGGGGCCGCCCTCGGCGAAGCCATCGTCGGTCACCACCGACGCCTGTGTACAGCAGCGCACCGCGCGCTCCAGAGCATCGCTACTGTTGGCCAGGAACAGGCCGGCCACGTCGGTCTGGTTGCCCAGCGCTGAATTCATTCCGGGAGCACTCCGGAGCCTGGGAGGCGAGGATCGGAGAGGTGGGGACCCGGGTGGCGGTGGCGCCGGGCGAACAGGTGCCGGGAGGAGCGCTTGGCTCGATCACTTGTGCGCTCGGGGCTCCTCAACTGCCCTTTCAAAGTCCCAGAGCCGTGGGTATCTCAGGAACCTCTCCAGGGCGCGCCGCAGGCTGGCTCGTGTGCTGCCAGGGCAGTGCTGGTTGCCGGCGCACGCTCGACTGGGAGCTCTTGGAACTTGGCGGGTTGGGCCGGAGGGGGCCGTGGGAGGCGCGGGCCGTGGCGGTGGCCCGGCGGCTGCTCCGAGTGAGCAGCGGCCCCTGCTGGTGACAGAGCCGAGCTGCGCCCGCTCGGCCGGGAGGTGGGGGCGAGGAAAAGAGCGAAACTAGAGCAGGCTTTGTGGCTTCTGTAATCCCAAAGGCCACGCAGAGGTCACCAAGCACTCCTGATGTGAAGAACAAGCAAAGAATTGGGGGAGAAAGGGTAAAAGTTGCAGAGGACCTGGGTCGCATCAGCTCTTAAGTGTGTCCTTCGAAGCCATCCCTCTCACCTCTAAACAGATGTAAAGTGGCCAGGTACCAGATGGCGCTGGCGCTGGCCAAGGCACTGGCCCACTGCCTGTGTGTAACTGCAGCTTGTCCGTGTAGGCTTTCTAGTGGAGCAAGACAAGGGGGCGTGGAGAAGCTGGGAACTTCTCTTCTCCCTTCTTTCTTTTTTTTTTTTTTTTTTGAGGGGGGGAAGGGGCTGGGATGATGGTGGTGGTATTGTTTTAGGGAAGGGAGAAAGAATGAAAGCATCAGAAAGAGTAACAGCCACCCTCCTAGGAAAGCTATTACATTTGTTGTAAAGCAGGGTTGACAAGTAGATTGAGGCCCAGACAAGGGGTGGGATGAAGGAGGTGTTCTTCCGTGGTTCATGTGTGGAGGTGGTTGCCAAGAACAGGGTCATCTCTCTGTTGACGGAGGTGGACAGAGTGACCACTTCATTGCAAATTTAATTGCAGAGGAGTGTTTTTTTTTTTTTTTTTTTTTTTGGATGAACATCAAGTGTTTTTCTCCTTGGCAGAAAAGTTTAAGGGAATTGCTCACCCACATCCATCAGCTAGAACGCTAGCCAGAAGCTGGGAGCCTCCCTCCTGAAGCTGATGAACCCACTCACCCTCCCCTCCTCACCACAAAGCAAGCTGCAGGCACTTCAGGGAGCTATGGAGGTTCAATCCTCCGTGATTGCTGTTGGTTCTAAGTTCTAGCAGAGGGCTCTTACAAACACACCATTTCATTTTAGGCTCCAGAACACTCAGGGTTTTCTCTTTCTCTGATTCCTCCTCCTTCCCTCTTCTCCCTTATACCCCTTCCCCAGTTCCCTTCGTTCTTTGTCTCTTTTCTTTCTATTATAATGGCTGGAATTGAGGGATTGAAATTCAGTCCAAACTTTTGAAAGAATGCTTTTACTACGTTTCTACTGAAATGTCAGAATTGTTTTGCTCTTCTTCTAGCTCTTTTGGGTGTGGAGGTAGAGAGAGGATCTGTAATTAGCTCCAATTGTCCTTGAATTGGTCATTCAAAGCCTTAGATTCCTGAGTTTGATGGCGATAGGCATGCAGAGAGCCTTTTCATGGCACTATACTTGCTTGTTAAATCCCCGCTGTAAGAATCATCCATTCCACATTCAAGTCTCCTCGATGTCTTGGCACTACTTCATGATGCCTCCCTTCAAGCACAAAGGAGTGACTTTCAGACATGACTTTCTAAAATTTTCTAACCATCTAGATGTTTTCCTTGTGGAGAATGGAGAGGCACAAAGAATAAAGAACCAGCCTTCCAGGAATTAACCATACTTCCTTGGCTTAGTTGCTCCAATTTTCACAATTCAGTCAGCCTTGAAAAATGTCTCAGCTTCAATAATTTCTGATTATTTTGTCAAATTTATCATTAATGGATCATAAATAATTCTTAAAAATTTTTTTTATCCAGGTGAATGAATAATAGTGGCTGCATCCAAGTTCAGTCTTTTCCACCCATGTCAGGCACCTCAAAACTGCCTTGCAATTCCAGCTCCAGAGAGATCTTATGCCTCTGGCCTATGTGGGCATTTTCACTCACAAGCAAATACTCACATGAAGACACACATATGTGCAATTAAGAATAAGTCTTTAAAAAGAATAAGAAGCGATGTATTTGTAAAATTTTACCAAAGAACGTTATGACAATACAAAGCCATACTAAATGAACAATTGAAGCAAATAATGATTCAGACAAAAAGCAAACAGGCAGAGAACAAAGCAGGAGTAGTTGGAAGGTGAACGCAAACATTATGAGATTAGAGGTAGGTGTGGGTGAACAGTGAGGTGTGAGCACCTTCTATGAGTACTCGATATAATTGGCTTATCCTGTGTTTTTGAGAACCAGAATACCACCCAGGAAGATCTTGGAGTGAAGAAGAGGATGGTGGAGGAAGGGAGAGGGAAAGAGAAGGACAGAAGGGAAGAGTTAAGGGAAAGGACAATGTGAGTTGAATCATTGTTAGAATCCATGTGAAATTGTTTCTGTTAACAGTATTGCTGTTTTGGTCTGAAGTCAGTTTAAAATGATCAGACATTTATTCACTGGATATTATTATGTCTAAGCCAAACCTCACATTTTAGAGAATATGGTCAGACGATGATAGGCAGCAGAGATTTTCTTTCCTTTCTTACCATTAACCAGACACAAACTCCCTGAAGCAGAAGGCAATATCCCTGCCACCAGCCACCTAGCACAAATTCATGGTTTTGTTCCTTTTATCCCCCAAACCTAAGATTTTGTTCATTGAAACTGCTTGAGTAGTTAAATGGGAATAAACTACAAAAATTGAGTTAGTGCAAAGGTTACTTTGTCACTTCCTATTAGCACTAGAAAGATCTGAGCTAACCAGAACTTTCCTTATTCTCCTCCCTCCCTCCCTTCCTCTCTCTCTCTCTCTCTCTTCTTTTAAAACAAGAATCATGTCTAATTTCCTCTCTCCTGTTTTTTATGTAGAGTTATCTATTAGAGTAATGCCCATTCTTTTCCTGTTTTGTGGAAAGCCTTAGGAAATGTGGGAAAGAAACTTTTAGGAACTATCCACATAACAAAATTTGATTTCTAGGAAAATAAATGATGATGTGCCAGGGGTTTGGACTGATGATTCACTTTTTTTTTTTAAATAAGACATGGTTTCTCCATTCAGCCCTGGATGTCCTAGAACTTACTTTGTAGACTTGGCCTAAAATTCAGAGATCTGCCTGCCTCTGACTCCCAAGTGCTGGAATTAAAGATGTATACCATCACTGCCTGGCAATAATTCACTTTAATGGAAAGGTTTTTATACCTAGGACTCATTTGTATATATCTGTGACTACTTCTACTTAATTGAGTAAGTTTCATAGTTTTGAGAGCTAAATGCTTAGTATTTCAAAGTGTTGTGCAGGGAAGAAATCACTTGCTAGCTCTTTCTGAAAAGCACATCTGTAGCATGTAATAAATTCTTCCAGGACATTCTAGGTCAATGCTAATGGCAGCTATAATCGGTTCGGTACTTTGGATAGCCTTGAGGGAAGACCAGACACTTTCAGACCCAAAATCCTTCTTCCTTGATGCTTTGTGCATTATGAAAATATCAAGTAGACATTTAAACAGTGTGTCAGACACTAAAAGAATGTTTATTGCTTTGGGGCAAGCACTTTTCTTAAATAAATTACGCTGTATTTCAAAATCTAAGTAAGATAAAAAAAAAAGAGCTCATACACAGAAGTCATTCATAATAACAGACTCAGTATCTTAGAACCAAGAAGGAAAACAAAATGAAACAGAATAGATCCCCGAGCCACCAAAACACATCATGAAAGGCAAACACTTCAGCCTTCCTTAGCTTGACCCTGCACAGCCTGCACCCTTTCGGCTTCTCACATAGTTTGAACTCTTCTCTATTCATTTATCTTAATGACAGAATAGTAATGTTGACGTCTGGCACTAAGAGGAAGAACTAATTAGAGGCAAGTGTTTTAGTCTTTTGTTAATTTTGTTCTGTAAACACACTAAGTGACACCAGAAGGAATGACACTAAACATTACATGGATATTAGAGTTTCGCTGGGCACAGAGCATTCACCTGGAGACAGAGGCAGCCCTTCTGCAGTCCTTCTTGGGTGGCAAGCGGTCCGCGTGCATGGGAAGACACGGCTTTTTAGCTCTTGCTCTTTCACTTAGCGGTGGTGTACTATTGGGTACAGTATGCTTTTCTTCTTCGTAGTCCGTTTACTTATATGTAATGTGGGGGGAATCATTTATAGTATTTCAGAATGCCTGAGTTATGAAAGTAACTGGGAGAAGCATTAAGTGTGAAGCAACACCTCAGTGAACATATATACTAGCAACTCCTGGACGGGCATCAGTGCACATAAGTCACTGAAAAACATAAATTAAGAAGGTTGGAGAGTGAATGCTGGATTTTAGAAGTGTTCGCCTATTAAGAACCGAAAGGTACAGAAATTAGAACCGTGAGCATTACTGGTGGGATGGTAAAGCAGTGCAGACACTTTGGGGAACAACGGTCGTTCTTCAGAAGGTGAGGTGTTAGCTTACAATGTCATCCAGCAAGTCTACATGTAGGTATAAATGCTGCCATGCTAAAAACATGGATTCAGAGAGTGAAAGTAACTCCCATGTCTACCAACAAATCAGGCAACTCCACAAAATGCAGTATACACACACGCAGAGTATTACTTAGTCTTAATGAAACAAAACAAGCGATATCCCGGAGCATGCTGCAACATTACCAACATTGAAGACAAGCTGAGATGAGTTAGAACAAGAAGAGGAGTATTGCATGATACCGTTTATATGTGATACGTAAACTTCTCGAACCTGAACAGATGGGATGTAGAACAGAGGTTACCCAGGGTTGGGGCGGGCAGAGGAAACAGTGGATGTTTAATCTTCGGTGGATACAGCTGCAAGTGGTGAAGATTAAAAGTTCTGTATGAACGTCGGTGGTGCTTGCACAATAATATAAACATGCTTAACTGTACACATGGAATTGTTGCAGGGGTAAATTTTATGGGTTCTGTACTTTATCCTAATAAACCTTCTAACTATATATATGTATATATATATATATATATATATACATATATATAGTTTACTTTTTACTGGAGAGTTGGATCCATTGATATTGATAGATATTAGTTACCTATGATTGTTTGTTCCTTTTATTGTGGAGTTGGTGGTGATTTTCTGTTCGTGTGCTTGTTTTCTTTTGC